AACATGGAAATTCTACAACAGATGAGGCAAGGATGATAAACAAGTCTATGTAAACTTAGGAAAAACCATTATATAAGGAAGAATCTCTAAGTATAAACAAAGAAGTTTAGCTGTTCAATAAATAAAATGTCACATCTGAAAATCCAGAAATATTACTTTCGATCTTTCTTACTAGTCTTTGCTTGTTGTGTAAGAAATATCATTTCATAAAATTACGTACTGTTCATTGTGATTATGAGATAACACAACAGAAAAATATAACCATATCTGGTTTCCCAAGCAGTGTAATGAGAATATTATGAAAAATTGAATTATTATAACGCTGTTTGAAAAAGTATATAAAAATAAAGTAACTTCTAAAAGCTTGTTCATGCATTCCAAACTGCTTCATTTTGTGATTAAAGTAGGCACTATAGCTGTAGATCTATTTGAGATCTCAGTCAACACTGTGTGTGTATGTGTTCCATGCATATATTCTTCTTTGGTGTCTTTGCCAGGATCTTATTCAATTTCATTTTTCTTCCTTAACCTATCATATGTGGAAAATAAGAGATTATACATTACCCTATTTCAAAGAAGTTATGAGAATTAAATAAATTAATCCATAAAAGCACTTGGAGACTTCCTGTTCTGGAACAAGGTGCTGTAGGCTCATGTATCCCCCATCTTTACTCTAAGTACAACTAATGCCTTGGAAAGGATTCAAAAGACAATGATAAAAGGATTAGAGGACTAGAAAAAAAAAAATATGGACTGACAAGGGAGGTCAGGACCTGAGGAATGACAACACTGTGAGTTTCCTGTTTCCTTTTATCTCACATAGTGCCAAGAAAGGACAAATCCAAGAAAGACTTAACGGGAAGCCCTGCTCCATATCTAGGGCACCAGCTGGCTGAAATCGACTTGAAGCAGCAGCTTCAGAGACCCCAAAGGCCAGCCTACCCCTGCTGTTCTATCGAAGGCACACTAGCAGGTAAGCCGACCCAGTATCGGGGCAGCATCCTTGCAGCCCAGCTATTCCTGTCTTCCATTCTGTGGCATAGGAGATCAGGCCTGAGACTTTCTGACTCTCCTCCACACCCTGGCAGAAGATGAGCCAGGATATTACTTCAGTAGTAGGAATTAAACAGGAGACCCGGCAGCATCAGAATAGCGAAACAGGCCAGAACCACATTGCAAAGCCTATGAAAAGTAAAGTGCCATTAGAACTAAAACTGATAGAAGTAGGCCAGAAACTATATGCTAAATATAAACAGGCTGACTACCCACTAAAAGAGATTTAAACAGCATCAAGAGTTTCCTAACACAACATACATAATGTCCAGAATACAATAAGAAAATCACCCATCACACTCAAACCCAAGAAAACCACAATTTGAAGGAGAAAAGGCAATCGACTTACACCAATTAGATGGTGGGGGGAGGGGGGGACATCAAGACATTTCAGATGAAACACTACTAAGAGGATTTGTCTTGACAGCCAGTCTCCCCTAACAGAATAGCTAAAGGAAGTTCTCTAAGACAAAAGGAAACAATGGAGGAAGGGAACTAGAGACATCAGAAAGGGAAAAAAAAAGGGGAGGGGGTAGTAAAAATATGAGTAAAGACAATGCAATTTCCTTCTCTTGTGCTTTCTAAATCCTGTTTCATAGTAGAATCAAAAGCACAACACTGTTATGTGATTCTCAAGGCATGTAAACATTGAAGATAATTATATCAATAAATGAGTTGATTATCATTTTCACATCAAAGGATTATTTGATTTAGCTTAAAAAAAAAGGTATATTGGGCCCTATTAGCTGCTTGATACTGTTTTAGATGCCGGAGAAATAGAGATAGAAAAGACATAAATCTTTCTGTTGGAGAACTTGTTGGTTACTGGGTAGACGATGTAAAAATAGGCTTAGCAACTGCTCTGATGCATATGATGAGAAATATATATATATATAATATATATATAGTAGTGTGACAAAAACTAGAAGGTTGATGCTGTTCTGTGATACCAGGAAAGACCCAAGGAAGACAAAATAATATCTAGGGTTTGAAAGACTGAAAGGAGTTTTCTTGGTGCACGATTTGAATGATTAGAGATCTGAACAATATAAAGCCATGATACAATGCTTTAGTCCATAAGGAAATATACTATCTTACATTACAATAAACCCAGGGTCAGAATTGCCCCAGAGTTGATAGATTAGGTGGTGTATGTGTGTTAACACAAGCCTGAAAAACTCATAAAAAAGCCATCATAATAATGTTTATTCCTCACTCATGCTTCATTTCCATACCTGGGTCTGTTGTGCTTCATGTCATCTTCACTGTTTTTCCACATCATCTCCACTTCAAAAACCAGACTCACTGAGAATACTATTCTTAAAACATTCAAGGAGGAAAGAGAAGGAGAAGATTCATCTTTTGACTCTTGGACATGACTTACATGTGATGCTCATGACTTCTCACATTTTGTTAGCCGCGTAAAGTCACTTAACTATCTTTATATATGTATATGTACGTAATACCCACATAATAAATGTACATATAATGTACATATGTATATATTAGGTTGGCCAAAAAGTTTGTTCGGAATAGCTTATGAAAAAGGTCTGAATAAACTTTTTGGCTGACCCAAAATATAGACGTTTTGAAGAATTTTTTTATATACACAAGTAAAATTGGCTTTTAAAAATTTACTGTAAGGAATTGGCTTATACAGTTATGGAAGCTGGCACATTCCAAGATCTGCAGTCAGCAAGCTGAATACACAGGAGAGCTGATGGTATAAATTCCAATCTGAAGGCTAGAAGATTCAAGATCCAGGATGAGCAAATGTTTCAGTTCAAGTCTGAAGGCAGGATAAAACAAACAAACAATGTTCCAGCTCTAAGCAGTCAGGCAGGAGGAATTCCACTTGCTCAGGGGAGGGTAAGTCTTTTTTATTCTATTCAGACCTTCAGTTGATTGGATGAAGCCTGTTCACACCTGGGAGGACAGTCTGTTTTACTCAGAGGATCAAATTAAATGCTAAACTCACTCAAAAATACCCTCACAGAAATACCCAGAATAATATTTGATCAGATACCTGGGTACCTCCTCTCCCAGTTAAGTTGACACATAAAATTAATTATCACAGTTTCCAAAGTGCTTGCACTTGATGAATTCAGGTTGTACTTGGGCATCAGAATTCTTTAAAGCTCCCGCATGGTCTCATGTGCAGCCAGCCAGGATTAAGAACCACTGCACAAGAGGGTGATGTCCCTTATCTGAGACTGGGGGAAGGAGGGACTGATACTAGAATTTTCTGCTTTAAGTAAACTGTCATTTTCATTGCCCAAATTCCTGGCCATTTTAGTATCAGTATTTGCTCATTTCAATATTAAATATAGAGAGAAATAATTATATTTCTTTCTCCAGTTTTGAGTTCATGGAGAGATAAAGAAACTGGTTGTGGGGGTGAGGGAAACCTACAAACTGACATGCCATTAACAACAAAGAGAGCCATCTTCAGTAGTATTGTACTCAGATATTGTTTTCTTTTAGTATACTACATGATTTAACTTTGTAAGTACAGCGAGAACCAAATGAGAAATCTTTATTCCAGAGCCAATTAAATGAGTAAACACTACTACCAACCCCAACCCCTACAGAAAAATTTGTTGTTCAATTATGTCCAACTCTTTGTGACACCAAGGACTGTGGCACACGAGGCTTCCCAGTCCTTCGCTATCTCCTGGAGTTTGCTGAAGTTCATGTCCATTGATGATGATGCTTTCCAACAGTCTCATCCTCTGCCACTCTCTTCTCCTTTTGCCTTCAGTCTTTGCCAGCATCAGGGTCTTTTCCAATGAGTCAGCTCTTTGCATCAGGTGGCCAAATTATTTGGGCTTCAACTTTAGCATCAGTCTTTCTAGTGAATATTCAGGGTTGATTTCCTTTAGGATTGAGTGGTTGGGTCTCCTTGCAGACCAAGGAAGTCTCAAGAGACTTTTTCAGCACTACGGTTTGAAAACATCATAGAAAAATAGACAGTGAAATAATTTAATTTACTTAAGATTGGCAGTGAAATCATAATAGGAGTCTAGGGTTATTTAGACAAATTCTTATAACATTATTTTGTTTTCCAACATATATATGGTGTCCTTTACTTTAAGAAAATTCCCACTTGAGGATTTCAGAGATCTACTTGATAGATCTATCTGATACATAAACATATATATATTTCTTACATAGACATATTTCTGATATATGCATATATTATTATATTTGTGCATTTTACCTCATATCTTTTTATTAATTTACAATGGTAATTTGTCATATCATAATCTAATATTAAATTTTACACAGATACATAATATGCCAGTATAGATATTTTATTTTCCTTCAATTCTTATATAAGGACATATATTTTTATTTATGGTTATTAGTTAAAACTTATTAACCCTCTCTATTCAGGTAAGGAATGTGAAAAAAAAAATACTCACAGCATTTAAAAACCTTAAAAAGAGCCTCTCCACTTTAATCACATACAAGATGGATTCATAAATTGAAACCTGCTTAATTGGCAATTAAAAGCTGTAGGACAATGTTGTCTCTCTGTATTTTCAGAATTAAGTTCCAGCTGTTTTGAAAAAGCAGCCAGAAGATTGAGAGAAACTGCCAAGTATCCTGGAGAGAAACTGGGAATGAAGAGCCACATTAGCTTCTGTTATTCTAAAGTCATTGCGTTACCAGCGGTAACTATAAATCCTGTAAGTGGAAAGAAAGACCACAGGTTCAGAACTTTGCCTGCTTTTCACAGGGAAAAGTAGCATACCTTTCTGGGTCTGAGATAATATTCACAATTCATCATGTTTTCCCACCAGTTTTACCATTAAATGTATGTTTAATTTGGAGACTGCTTATTTTTATTTAGAAGCCCATGTGGTTAGTGTCACTATAGCCACTGGGAAATCTACATTATAATGTAATAAACACCTCCTATCTCTGTATGGTATTCAACTCACTCTGCTTCTCACAGGGTAACCCGCTGGCCTGATCTGAGGACATGATCCACTCAGCAACAAATGGAAAAGGATGTGTAATCTTCTGCATGCTCAGGAGACTGAAGGCTGGACATATTTGGTGAAGAGCATTACAGACCATCGCTTTCTGCCCTTCAGGTCACCAGGTATTCAACTCAGTCAACTTCTCACTTGCAAAATATGCTTGAACATTTCCCCAAAAAGTCAACCCAAAAGTTCTGTTTTGCCATGATACCAAGTTCAAAGCTTAGGCTGTTTGGGAATGATGCAGTAGACTCCATATCAAATCTGAGTATGATTTCTCTTGCTCAGGATGCTCTTGAATAAAAGCATGATTTATTTTCCATGCTCTCCAAATATACAATAGTAGAACAGGGATGGAGTAACTGCATTAATCACCTCCATTTGTAAAGAGGAAGAACAGAAGATTCATGGCGGGGAGTAACCTGATCCACAACAATTCTGAAATCCTACTGGGCAGAAGTGGTGAGGATCTTCTGCTTTAGAAAGTGAGAATGGGGTAGAAATGTTGCCAGATTAGACTCTGGTTTTGCTTCCTGCCAGAGAAGACTCAGTTTCACTCCTTTTCTCCCTGATCTTTGACTCTATCCCGTTTGCCCCATCTGCAGTGGGCATTAGTTAGGAGTATGTTTTCCTTATATGCTAAGTGGCTTTCCCCCTCTGCCTCGTAGCCACCAAAGGAATGGAATCAAGGATCATTTTAAGTTTCTTACAGTCTCAGACATTTATAATTTGGGTTTATATTTTTAATCTGTTTGGTTTAGTTGGCAATATATGGTGATAGGCGCCCACATTTCTTTTCCAAATAGACTTTTTAGATTGGAGGTAATTTTTTGAAAAAATTTTGCTCTGCTGAGGCAGTAGTAACTGAAATTGCCAACAAATTTTGTCAAGAAATATTTAAATTCAGAAACAAGCTATTAGTTTTTAGCATATTATGTTCAAACAATATTCAGGGGTGTATAAGTATCAAATCATAGAAAAATATTTTCCTTAACAGTTCATTACACAAAATAAAATATTTATTGGATTTTATGTATTGAACTGTTATCATATCTATTATCATTCCATCATCTTTTAAAATTGACATTTAGATCCATCTGTGTTACATATTTTGTCCTTTCAAATTTTTAAAAGTTGCATGTTATAAGGCAAACCAAAAAGAGCAGTAATTTTTAAATTTTGTCAAATTTATATTCTATCAGGAGTATAATTTAATTGGTTATTTAAGGATACAAACTTTTAGTGAGTAGTAAATACATCATAAAGATCTAGTGCACAGAATAATGAATATAGATAATAATACTGTAATTATATAGTGAGATAAGTATGGCTACAACTGCAATCATATTACAATATGTAAACATTTCAAGGTAACACATTATACACCTTAAATTAGCACAGCTTATATCTCAAATTTATTCAATAAAACTATGACTATATTTTAATCTTAAAATGACAAGAAATACAAGTTAACAATACAAAGATTTTTAAAAGTCTAATTATGAAGGGACATGGGATTTGAATAAATAAACTAAGAAGCTCTACTCATTGCCGATAAGCACATGAAAAGATACTCAACATCACTAGTCATTAGGGAAATGCAAATCCAAACCACAATGCCATACTGCCGGCCCACAGGAAGGTGGCTATAATAAAAGAGGCAGATAATAACAAGTGTTAGCAAGGATATGGAGAAATTAGAATCCTCATACATTGCTTGTAGGGGTGTAAAATGGTGTCACTGGTTTAAAAACTAGTTTGGCAGTTCCCCAGAAGGTTAAAATGCAGTTATCATATGGATCAGTGATCCAGTGATCAGCTCCTAGGTATATATACAAGACAACTGAAAACAAATGTCCACACAAAAGCATGTACACACATGTTCATGATAGCATTATTTATAATAGTCAAAAAGTGGAAACAACCCAAATGTCAATCAACTGATCAATGGATAAATACAGTGTGGTACATCCATACAAGTGAATATTATTGGATTGTAAAAAGAGTGAAGTTCTGATATATGCTACAACGTGGATGTAACTTGAAAGCATTATGTTTAGCAAAAGAAGACAGACATGAAAGGCCATGTGTGTGTGTTCAGTAGTGTCCAACTCTTTTTGACCCCCATGGACTATAGCCTGCCAGGCTCCTCTGACTGTGGAATTTTCCAGAGAAGAATACTGGAAGATGGTGCCATTTCCTCTTCCAGGGGATTTTCCCGACCCAGGGATCAAACCCATGTCTCTTACATCTCCTGCTTTGGGAGGCGGATTCTTTACTATTCGTGCCACCTGGGAAGCCCATAAAAGGTATATGGATGTCCAGAAAAGATAAATACATAGGCAGAAAGCATATTAGTGCTTTTCAGGTATGGAGAAAGGTTGTTGTTGGACAGGGGAGAAGGGAATGACTAGTGACTGGAGACTACTGATTGGATTGGTAAGGGGCTACTGTTCAGAATGAGGAAATGTTCTGGATTCAGATAGTAGTCATGGTTGCACAACACTGAATATACAAAAAGCTACTGAATTGCATGCCTTTAAAAGGTGAATATTATGATATGTGAATTATATCTTAATAAAGCTGTTATTTAAAAAATGACTAAATTAGATTATGGTGATGGTTGCACAACTCTGTGAATATACTAAAAATCATTGAACTGACCACTTTAAATGGGTGGATTTTATGACATGTGAAATTATCTCAGTAACTATGTGAAAGAAAAAAAAAAAGACCAAGAAGCACTTTCTTTAGAAATTGGTGATTATTTGTATTATTCTTTCTGCTTTATAGGCCTGAAAACATTTTGGTTTCTTTATTCTGAAGTCCTATATTTTTTTGCAATGCAATTTTTGCTGCATATTTCATGTATTGTTTCTATTGATTTAAAAACACATATAGTTTTGTTTCTTCTTTATAGACAGCTTTTAATCTATATTTTTTGAATTTTAAAAAGTGTAACAGCTAAATTTAGATTTTTTTGCTAAGTTTCTGTTAACCTTTTTGCTAACATGCAATCGCTCATGATAAAAAACTTACTAGTTCAGATTCACTATTAATTTAAATCTTCACCCAAGATCAAATTTCACTCTTTGTGGGTCTTCTGTTCAGTTCAGTCGCTCAGTCATGTCTGACTCTTAGCGACCTCATGAACCGCAGCACACCAGGCCTCCCTGTCCATCACCAACTCCCAGAGTTTACCCAAACCCATATCCATCGAGTCGGTGATGCCATCCAACCATCTCATCCTCTGTCATCCCCTTCTCCTCCTGCCCCTAATCCCTCCCAGCATTAGGGTCTTTTCCAATGAGTCAGCTCTTCGCATCAGGTGGCCAAAGTATTAGACTTTCAGCTTCAGCATCAGTCCTTCCAATGAACACCCAGGACTAATCTCCTTTAGGATGGACTGGTTGGATCTCCTTGCAGTCCAAGGCACTCTCAAGTATCTTCAATACCACAGTTCAAAAGCATCAATTCTTCGGCGCTCAGCTTTCTTCACCATCCAACTCTCACATCCATACATGACTACTGGATAAACCATAGCCTTGACTAGATGAACCTTTGTTGGGAAAGTAATGTCTCTGCTTTTAAATATGCTGTCTGAGTTGGTCATAACTTTCTTTTCAAGGAGTAAGCATCTTTTCATTTCATGGCTGCAACCACCATCTGCAGTGATTTTGGAGCCCCAAAAAATAAAGTCTGACACTGTTTCCACTGTTTCCCCATCTATTTCCCATGAAGTGATGGGACCAGATGCCATGATCTTAGTTTTCTGAACGTTGAGTTTTAAGCCAACTTTTTTCACTCTCCTCTTTCACTTTCATCAAGAGGCTTTTTAGTTCCTCTTCACATTCTGCCATAAGGGTGGTGTCATCTGCATATCTGAGGTTATTGATATTTCTCCCAGCAATCTTCATTCCAGCTTGTGCTTCTTCCAGCCCAGTGTTTCTCATGATGTACTCTGCATATAAGTTAAATAAGTAGGGTGACAATATACAGCCTTGATGTACTCCTTTTCCTATTTGGAACCAGTCTGTTGTTCCATGTCCAGTTCTAACTGTTGCTTCCTGACCTACATACAGGTTTCTCAAGAGACAGGTCAGGTGGTCTCATATTCCCATCTCTAAGAATTCTCCAGAGTTTATTGTGATCCACACTGTCAAAGGCTTTGGCATAGTCAATAAAGCAGAAATAGATGTTTTTCTGGAACTCTCTTGCTTTTTTGGTGATCCAGCGGATGTTGGCAATTTGATCTCTGGTTCCTCTGCCTTTTCTAAAACCAGCTTAAACATCTGGAAGTTCACAGTTCATGTATTGCTGAATCCTGGCTTGGAGAATTTTAAGCATTACTTTACAAGCGTGTGAGATGAGTGCAATTGTGCAGTAGGATCCCTGGGTCGGGAAGATCCCCTGGAGAAGGAAGTGGCAACCCACTCCAGTACTCTTGCCTGGAAAATTCCATGGACGGAGGAGCCTGGTAGGGTACAGTCCATGGGATCGCAAAGAGTCGGACATGACTGAGTGACTTCACTCACTCACTCACTCACTTGAGCATTCTTTGGCATTGCCTTTCTTTGGGATTGGAATGAAAACTGACCTTTTCCAGTCCTATGGCCACTACTGAGTTTCCCTAATTTGCTGGCATATTGAGTGCAGCACTTTCACAGCATCATCTTTTAGGATTTGAAATAGCTTAGCTGGAATTCCATCACCTCCACTAGCTTTGTTCATAGTGATTTCTTCCTAAGGCCCACTTGACTACATATTCCAGGATGTCTGGCTCTAGGTGAGTGATCACACCATCATGATTATCTGGGTTGTGAAGATCTTTTTTGTACAGTTCTTCTGTGTATTCTTGTCACTTCTTCTTAATATCTTCTGCTTCTGTTAGGTCCATACCATTTCTGTCCTTTACTGAGCCCATCTTTGCACGAAATATTCCATTGGTATCTCTAATTTTCTTGAAGAGACCTCTAGTCTTTCCCATTCTCTTGTTTTCCT